GAATTTTCTGGGGAGTGCTATAAAGTGTATTATTTTTTGTTACCGATTTTTTTGAAAACCGGTTACAAAATTTTTCCAATTTCTCGGGAAATAATTGAATCTTAAAGAATTACATATGAAATAAAGGTAGAATTTCCCCGGGATTGCTATAAAGTGTACAATTTTTTGTTACCGATTTTTTTGGGAACCGGTTACACATTTTTTCCAATTTTTCAGGAATTAATTGACCAAATCTTAAAAAATTATATATGGAATAGGAGTCGTGTCAAAATTTTTTTAATTTTTGGAAGATAATTTTAATTTTTTATTAATGGATAATTTTTCATTAATGAATTGATTTTCTTGATCTATATATATAAGTACCGGACGTCTGTCTGTCTGATATATGAAACAGAGGTAGAATTTATGAAACAGAGGTAGAATTTTTCGGGGAGTGCTATAAAGTGTATTATTTTTCGTTATCGTTCTTTTTGGAAACCGGTTACAAAATTTTTCCAATTTTTTGAGAAATAATTGAATTTTAAAGAAGTCCGGCAAGTTCGGCATAACCCTAGGGACCAGCCCTAGGGTATGCATTAGGCATTTTCCTCCTCCAACGAAAAAAAAAAAAAAAAAAAAAAAAAGGCCCAATATCTCAAAATTTACGGATATTAAAAAATTCACGATGAAAAATTGAAACTTTTTAAAAATAAAAAAAAATGTATTTAAATTAAAAATTAGTATTAAACTGAGAGTAAAATAAAGGTTGAATCTAAAAAAAAACGAAGATGTAGATTACAGTTTAAGAAGAAAAAATAACAAATTTAGTGTTTCAAATTAATGGGTAAATTTAAAGCATATATAATTAATATACAGATAGATTTATACCCGCGCGAAGCGCGGGCCGAATAGCTAGTATATATATATATATACGATTCTATTTTTTACAAATATGCATATATGTATATGTGTGTTTATATCCGTATAATATAGAGAATCGCAATAATAACATTAAATGTAATAATAATTATAATATAGAACTACCCAGGTAGCACATACACGTTTCAAAAATGTTTTATAAGCGTTTTTATGAAACGTTTTATAACCGATTTCTAAAAACCTTTCTCATGAGTAAAAATGTACGCGAGCGTTACTTCTGTAGTAACTTACGATAATTCCTCCACGTAAATGCGGTATAAGTAATATGTAAATTACCAATTTGCAAAAGATATTAATTTGTTTTCACGAACTAGAAATTTTTTTCTGTCAAATTATCAATTCTTTAAGTAATCTGTAATTTACTTTTACCTAAATATCCCTGTTTAACACTACAAAAATGCGTGATATGAGTACAAAATTACCTTTTTCAAAAAAGGTAAAAAAGGCGCCAAGTACACGCAATGTACTTTATAAATTCAAAAATCCAACCTAAGTAGCAGCTTTATTTTTCCTTAACAAAATTATATCATCATAAAATTACGTTACCTATAGCTTAACCTAAGTGATGTATAAATCTAACCTGAGTGGTAGTAGCTTTAATTTCTCCTTAACAAAATTATTATATCACAAAATTATGTTACCTAATTCAACTTAAGTGACATGTACAATATATCAAAAAAAAGATGTAAAATCTTTAAATTGCGCCAATTGCAAAGAGAATTTATATATTGCTTTGAAAAATAATTGTTGTGCAACTACTTTTAAAAAATAAAACCCAAGTGGTACATAATCTTTGTGTTCCCATTCAAGGGTCTTCCTATTCCAACTCAAGTGGTAATAGCTTCTTAATTCTCCTTAACAAAATTATAATATTACAAAAAATTTTTGTTACAAAGAATTAAAGAGGTAACAGTACAAAATAAAAATATTTAATTAAAATAAAATAAATAAATTTTTCTTGTAAAAGAACTTGGCCCTGCTTTTTTACTTCTTTCGCATTCTTTCTTAAATTATGTTTATTGTTTTTTTATTTAATAAAAAATGTTAGTACTAATGTTTAAATTTTAATGTTTAAATTTCGAAGTTTAGCGGCGCCAAGTTTTTTTACAAAAAAAATTTATTTATTTTTACACCATAACTCAGAATGTCACCAAATTTCGTTGACAACACTGGCACATAAAGATACATTTACAGTAGGAAAGGCAAGTTTCTACGATAAATTGTAATTGGCAAAAAGCCTAATGTCAAGTTTGCCTTGGTGTAGAGTTTACCCCGGTCTCCCCTACACACAATATACGTCTTATTATTATTATTCTCATTATCACAATTATTTGCATGGTTATAATATGGTTATAATATGGTTATAATATGGTGTGGTGTGTTCCCGGTGGCGGTGGATGTTATCATGGGGTCCTTGAATCATCACAACCTCTCTCAATTTAGCCCGCGAGGTAATTGAGGCATCACTACCACAAGACTACGTTTCATCACTGCCACAGCCACCGGGAGGGCTCACTACTGCCAGAACACCAAGTATGTCCTGTGCTTTTTTCTATTAATTTTTTCTACAGTATGACAATCGATCAACTCACGTAAATTGTAATTTTATCTGGTTTTCAGAGTGCGACCAAAAATTTGTGAGCACTCCTGACGGACCGCTGAACGGAAGCTTTCACGCACCGACGCTGATCAATCCTGAAGGAGATCCACGACAGTGCGTTTACACATTTCTTGCAGGGCCGCGTCAGCGTGTCGAATTGATTTTTACCTCGTTTGGCCTTCGGGGAAAACCACCAGAGTGAGTCTTTGTCTTCATCATTTTATCCCGCGAACCTCAATATATTTGGTAGACAATTGTTTTTTTTTCTTTTAATAAGTATTTGTAATCATTTGGAAATTATTTAGAGAAATTTGGAAAGCCATTTTTATACTTTGGAGAGAAGTACACAATTATTAATAATTAATACAAATTAATTAAGCATATAGTGGGCAGACATATTAATCGATTTCTTTTCTTTTTTTTAATAGATTCTAAATGATATGGAAAATTGCTTACAACACATTTTATTATTTGGAAAACAATTTTTATTTATTTATTAATTATTATTAATAATACATAGTCCAGAAGAGAAAGCAGGAACCGTTCCTGACTTACATCATGTATGTATATATGTATATACGTGCTCATTTTCTGTTCTTTCTTCAACGTTAATAGTACTTTGTCCACAACAGCAGTATAATAATTACGCATGGTTAAAAATTTTGGAGCAATACAATTTATAACACAAAACCATTCTTTATTTCAAGACATTAATTTGAAATATGTTATGAGGAAATATAAATCTTTACAGTGTCATAAATTGTAGTATGTAAATTACAATACATCAATCAATATCTCTAATTTGATTAAAATTCAATATGAAGAATGTAACAGGATGTTCGTGTTAAATTATTTTTATTAAACAAATATTTTTCCAACTATAGTAAACTGCGCGCCGACAAATCGTCAGACTTGAAACACAATTTTGATTGGCATAGTAAAATTCCCTCTATGCCCTCTAATTAAATCGTTACAATTTAATATTTTGCAATAATTTCTTTACATTTTTTAGATGCTTAGCATCAAAAATTAACGATTTAATTAGGGGGGATAGAGGGAATTTTACTACGCCAATCAAAATTGTGTTTCAAGTCTGACGATTTGTCGGCGCGCAGTTTACTATATATGGTTGAAAAAATATTTGTTTATTAAAAATAATTAACACGAACATCCTGTTACGGCTTTCCTTGCCCTATTCTTCATATGTAACTTATTTATTTCTCGTTTAAGGAGGTTCTACAGGTACTCTCTAGTCAGTTGAGAGATGAAGAGAAAATCTTCAAATTCGTCGATTCTAAGTATTCATAAAATATTTTCGTGAATTTTGATGACGTTAGAGCTTATATCATACCCATATTAGTCAAAGCGAGGAATAATTAAAAATATCGTGTAAGTGCTCCTTTGACTCTGGCGGCTTATAATGGAAGAAAATGTGGTAACGTCGCGAACTTGACAGTTCTGCTCATATGACCGTGGTTATTTCACAATTTCACATAATTCTAGAGCGAGTACTTCTCCGTAAGCGCTCGTAAACGTTAGGTGCTTAAGTTTGAGGTGCTGTCATACTGTGGTGCTGTACGCTGTACTGGCTGTACACTTTTCGCGCGGGTGCAGTCGCTGCGACATTGCCAAATCTCCCTTGTTATTCGAAGCACGCTACGTGAACTGTGATATGGCCTGTTTCAATAGCCAATATCACAAAATTTTACGCGATAACCCTTGTTTTTCTCGATATTTTTGAAAAAGTTAGATTAAGATCTATAAGAGCTCCGTTTTTTGAATCTTTGGTAGGTCGCCTTTATATAATTAATATCTCGTTTCCTGTCTCTGAGCCCCTCTGCCATATGTAGCTTATGTTAAAAACTGTGATTTCAAAATTCATTTTTGCAAATTTTTACACGGTAACCGATGCTAAAATTTTTCGAGCACTTTTCTCGCATCTCAATTTATACGACCATAAAGTTTTTTCCAATTTTTAGATACATCCATTATCTGTAGAACCTCCTTAATTGTTTAAGAAACATCAGTATTAATAAACAGGTGAAAGGACAAAAAAATGATACAATTATAACTATATTTATGATAGAAAAAGGAAGAATAAAAAAGATATTGAGCACGTATGTGTACAAGAATAATTTTTAAATTCCTATGAAGGCAGAAACATATCTTTATTTTCAAATATTTCCTTTTATTTTAACACTTGTAATATTTTAGCCTATTTGCTTTAATTAAATATTTTAAAAAAGTCAAATTAATTTTATTAAGCACAAATAGAATGACTTAATAATACAAAAACTGCTTCATATATAAATTAAAATTTTAAGTATTAATTAACATCAGAAAATAACAAAGAATTCTAATGGAAACGAAATGAAAAGAACAGGAAATACTTTGCAATTAAAAAAGGAAATGATAATATCTCTGTAGTTCATAGAGCAGAAGTAGATTTAGCTCTATTCTTTTCCTAATTTTTAATAAGTATTGCACCTCGCAGAGCAGTAAAGACAATTAGCCATTTACTTGGAAGTTGACTAAAAGCATTTAACTGGCTAAACCAAAGACGGAAACAATGTTGTTTTATTCTTCCAACGAACTGTGCATCATCGGCCATTAGTTACATTATTGTTCCAGAAACAGGAACTTGCTGTATATAAACCTATTTCTTTTTTTTTGCGTAATAATGATGTAACTGAAGAAAGTTATTAAAGTATTAATAATGATAAATTAATGTAAAATTAAAAAAATTTTTCCAATATATTTAAAAGGTTTTTGCAAATTGGTCAAGTTTGCTAGAGATCCTTCCACGACGTTTGACGTACGCTAGCTGACTTTGTTGTGTTAATATATATTGTAATGTATTTGGAGAGGGGCTCGAGTGTTGGAGCTTGCTGCGCTCATAGCCGACGAGCTCCAGTTCGGTATGTACCTGCGACTTGTAAACATACCCAGCATAGTCGCGCGCTGTTAGAATAGCCGGTGTCTAATAAAGTGTTAACAACTAATAAGCGAGCTCTGTCTTTCTGCCTTTTCCACCTCCCTGTTCAGACATTACATATATCTTTACCACTACATTGACTGTATTAAAACTTTGATTGCTTCTTTCATAACCTTACTAACGTCATCAACAACAAATTGAATAAAAAAATGGTTATTAACAAACAGAAGATCATTTAATAAGCATAATTACCGCTTCTTGAGTATCCTGAATAGTTACCAATTAGTTATTTTATTACATTCACTTTATCATTTTATTAACTTATGAATAAGACAGATTTTATTGATTGCTTTACTACAAATTATTGACAGATTTTATCGATTGCTTAATTACAAATTTAAAAAATCTTTCAAAAATGAAAAGAATGGTTGATTCGAAATATTTAACAAAATTTAATTGATGGAAAATTATAACATGTTTTCGAAAACCTTTTAAACTAACAGTGTATTAATTAAGTCTTTTTTCGGTGTAGATTAGTGTAGATGAGCGCGTGTTGATTGACTATTATACGTTTAACGCGGTTTATCGTCGCGACCAATAAACGCGCCGCTTATATATCTACACTGAAAAATGATCTCACTAATGCATTCACAAAGTGAAGGAAAGAGGAAAAGGAAGTTAGCACAGACATGCTACAGGTCAGGGACGTCTCCTTCCGCCTGTAGATTATGTATTCATAATTATTAATTATTGAGGCAGATAGTTTATCACGTAGTTAGGATAAGAGCCGCTTGGGAAGGGTTGCGCCACCGTCCGGGCACCATAAGCACGAGGCCAACTGTGGCCGCTCGATCGTTCGGGTATCATCAGGAGAGCTCGGGTCTCTAGCGAAGACGCCGGAAAGCGTGCGTGCTTCCGCCTGTTAATCGTCGACTCTCGTGCGTAAAAGTCGCGCTGCTTCTCTTGTGCTAATTGCAATAAAAAATATTGTTTAAGTACGAATCGTTTATCTCAGCTCTCCGATCCCTCCCTCACAATAGCTTAAAATCCCTAACATTAATAAATAAATAAAAATTGTTTCCCAAATCATGAAATATCTTGGAACTGATTTTCTAAATCATTTAGAATTGTAAGGTAGTCTGTGATAACAAACCGATCGAGGTACAATTGTCTCTATGTTTATATTAGTCATGCGAGAGGTAACGCGAAGTTTAGTTATAAGGCGTTGGTACTCATGTAAGGCGCAGGGCTCCGAGAGGCTCCTCACTTATATCTCAGACAGAAAGTTTTCGTCCGTGATACCGCACGCGGAAAATTTACTCCATTACATATATATTATACTCACACATTATACTCGTTCTACGTTTGTAATAAATAATAGTTATAGTAGCCGCAAGTTTGTTTCGACCTCCAACAAGAATCTATAAAAAAATCAGTTAATATGTCTGTCCACTATATGCTTAATTAATTTTTATTAATTATTAATTATGTACTCTTTTCCAAATTATGAAAATGGCCTTCCTTTCTCCAAATAATTTCCAAATGATTACAAATACTTAAAGAAAACAAAACAATTTTCTACCAAATATATTGAGATATCCCACGATTACATTGATTCTGATGTTCCGGAATTCGCAATTCGCCTTATTGTCGCCCGCAGATTGATAATTATGTCACGCACCTTTTACGATCGGCGATAGACGTCAACATATTAGGCATATTTTTTACGTGACTCTAGTATAAGCAACCAAAGTGTACCAAACTGCACCACCAATAGCAACCACCGATAACAACTTTGGTATAATATATGTGCCAAACCATACCAAACGATCGCTAAAAATCGCCTATTATATCCGATATATCAAGTCAATTGTTATAGTCCTACGTATACGGTCCTACGTATTCATTATTTTTCTATTTTCCCACTTTCCATTTCTCTCGCTGATTTCTCTTCTTTTTTTTATACAAGAAAATGTCAAATAGTGAAAAAATAAAACAAGAAGAGAAATGGTAATAGAAAAGAATACGAAAACAGATATACGACAAAAAATACAGAGGTTTGACTATACATATTACTTGATTTTTTTTTATGGTATGGTATCATGGTATTTTCTCATACGTCAATAATAAAAATTTATAATTATTTTTCCTTTTACGAAAACTTTAGTGATTGATACCTGATAAAGGCGCAAGGCAAGGTTTGATATTTTAGAATTATATTATATACTTGAATTTGACAATTTTTGCATATAAATGTGATGGATTTATATAAGAAACATTTATTTAAATATATGTATTGTTTGCACGCATACATTTCCTGATATTTAGTGGATCTGCTGTGGGAGAATTACCTGCGTAAGTGTTAATAAACTTATAGAAAGTTATGTTAATTAGCTAACAGCAAGCTATTCAGAAATGAAATCACGTACTTATATTTAATATGTGATATATATTTATGAATTTAAAAAAATTTATTTTCTGGGGTTTAGATAGTATTATATGTTTATAAAAGAAAAAAGTGTGCAAATTAGGAATTTGCACATTGCTTTTTCACCATTTTTAAGTGTGCAAATTAAGACTTTGCACATTAATTACTTCATCAACTTCATCTACTTCATCAATTATATTTTGCTTATAAAGCTTCCTTTGTGAGGAAGCTTATATTTTATTTGATACATAATATTATATTATATTAGTATACCTATAGTACATAATATTATATTAGTATTTATTAATTTGGTTTCCTCATAGAGCGAAATAAAATGTTGATAAAGCAATGTGTAAATTTATAATTTGCACACCTTTTTATTTTTATATAACTTATAAAAATTTTATAGAGTTTATTTTCTTCTAATCAAACAAATCTTGAAAAATATATGAAATAGAGGTAGAAAAGATTGAAGAATATAATAAAATTAGAAATAGTCCGATATCTCAAAATTTGCGGAAGTTAGAGTTACACAGACATTTCTAAAAAAATTATGGACCTTTGATCGCGTATAAAGCTGGGTCTAATCAACCAAATCTTAAAGAATTATGTATAAAATAGGAGTAGAAAAGTCTGAAGATTATAATAGAATTATAAATAGCTTGATACATCAAAATTTGCGGAAATTATAGCCACAGACATTTCTTAAAAAATTCAAAATTTTATAAAGAAAGAACCCCTTTTTACTGATTATCGCCAAATGCAATACCAACCTTCCTTTAATAATACTCTACCAATTAAAAAAAATTTAGCCCGATATCTCAAAATTTACGAAAGTTATAGCAACCACGCACGGATATCAAATCCACATACGCACGCACGCACGCACGCACGTACACATACACACACACACACACACACACACACACGCGCGCGCGCGCGCGCACATAAACATTTTGTAAAAATGTTATTTTTCGACGTTTTAGAACATTATCTGAACATATTGGCAGAGAAAACTAAAAAAAATTTTTTTTTACAAAAATAAAGCTTCTTCTAAAAGGAAGCAAGAAATTCATATTTTATATAATGTGTATTTCTAAAATCAGGATCGGCGTTAGGGGCGTGCAAACAGTGTGTCGCACACGTAAAAGGTCAATATAGAGCCATAGTAATGTAAGCCATAGTAATGTAAGTCAAAGTTTTTAAGATATTGAATTGTGTGCATATATGCAATTTATGTATTGTATAAATTGCATCTATGCACACGAAACAATATTTTAAAAAATTTGACTTATACCACTATTTCACGTTGACGTTTGATCGGCTCGACGCTCATCTCAGCGAGCAAAAATTAGAAAATTTTAGAAATAATATATTTTATTTATATATATTATATCCGTAAAATATTACTACTTGAAGATATTAATTGAAAATAATTAATATTTTACGTATTTCGAAGTCTATTTTTGTACTGGGACGATCAACGACGATTCAACGTCAATTTGAATGTCGAATAAATTCAACTTCATTTCTTAAGGTGGTTCGATGGCTACAACAAAATGCAGAGAATTTCATGAAATTTTAATATGTTGTTCTGCAATGCAAAATAGAATTATGTGAATTTTTTGGGAATTTTTCACCGTCCCGTTTTGAAA